ACACACACACACACACACACACACACACACACTCTTCAGTTTCCATCTGCCATCTACTCAATTCTCATTGTAGCCCATTTTAGTGTTATTATGCGAATCTGGTGTAGATTCGGAAGAGGTCTAGATCTGATGCATTTTTTTATTATTTAAACTTATACTCCACCCATCTAATCAACAAGCCACTAACTACTCTGGACAGCTTCCAAGAAAATAAGATAAATAGAGAACATAAGATAGTTAACATTTAGAAACAAAGCCCCTCACAAAACCTCCAGTCTAGCAAATATTCCAGGACTCAGGATGGTGAACCACGTAAAGTTTCTACAGAATTAATATTACTAAGGGGTGAGGCTTGTAAAGGCCTGGGTAAAAAGCCAGATTTTAACTTGCTTCTGAAAGCAGGAGGGAGAAAGCTAATCACGCCTCCACAGGAAGGGAGTTCCAGAGAGAGGAGCCACCACCGAGAAGGCCCGGCTTCTGGTTGACAACATTGGTTAGCATGTTGGCCCAAGACCTGGAAGATCTTGGGTCAAGTCTTCACTGAACCGTGAGACTCAGTGGGTGGCCTTGGGTTAGCTGCACTTTCTCAACTTGAGTTGCCCTACCTTGTAGGGCTGTTGTACTAGGGGCTGGGCCTTGGGAGCGCCGGGCTCTCGTCCTTCCTGAGCCTTAAAGCTCAGCTAGGTCACCTCTTGTAAAGACACAGCTGAAAGAAGAGCCACACAAGTCGCTTTAAGCTCAGTGGAGGAAAGATGGGATGTGAAGGTGACTCATGATCATATTTGGGCATGCAAAGCTCAGTTTACCTAGGTGTCCAAGAGATAAAAAGTAAAGGTTCCCCTTGACATTTAGTCCAGTCGTGTCCGACTCTAGCGCTCAGTGCTCATCTCCGTTTCCAAGCCATACAGTGAGCGTTTTGTCCGAAGACAGTTTCAATGGTCACGTGGCCAGCGTGACTAGACATGGAACGCCGTTACCTTCCCACCGAGGTGGTACCTATTTATCAACTTCCCTTTTTTACCTGCTTTCAAACTGCTAGGTTGGCAGGAGCTGGGACAAGCGACGGGCGCTCCCTCCGTCGTGTGGATTCGACCTTACGACTGCTTGGTCTTCTGACCTTGCAGCACAGAGGCTTCTGCGGTTTAACCCACAGCGCCACCACGTCCCATATTGTGTCCAGGGGATGCCCTGCCATATAGCCACTCCCTCTGGTGATGGTGTCATCCTTCTCTGGATGTTGTGAGTGCAGCATGAACATCTGGAAATAGAGAGCCTATTGCAGTAGTTGTTGGTGTGAGTCAGAAATACAAGGGCTTGGCTTGCCCAGAGACCTGTGCACATAGGTCCAATCTTTGGAACATGTGTGTGCTGTACATTGATGTTGGGAATCATGTTGGCCGGGTGCAGCTCCCCAAAATACTGTTATGCCCTGCAGATGATCCAGAATATTGATTTTTTAAAAAGGCTGCCTAAAAATTGTAGCATGATTCACTAGTTTACCAGCATCATAGTTTACCACCTGCTCCCACAGTTTATCTGTAGCTGATGCCATGGACAGAGTGATAGAGGGGGACTCTGGAGTCCAGGGTTCGAATCTCCACTCAGCCATGGAAGATCACTGGGGATGTGGAACTAATAAATCCACTCCTCAAACATCTTGAAAACTCTGTTAGTCAGTTCTGACCTGATGACAGATAATTAACTATTTCCATTTATTTAGTGCTCAAACCTTATTTCTGCATAATGCCGTGTTTCTGCACCATCATTGCCTTAAGTGCAAAGGAAGTCTTCACTTGGCATAATTACTTCCTAGCCTCTCTCCAACCAATTACGCTGGAAGGAAGTCAGAAAGTACTTCTTCTGAATGAAAATGTCCTCATGCAATTATATCAAGGAACTACATTTTTTAAAAAAATAGGAGTAAGCATTGTTAAAACACTAAGTATAATAAACAAGGTTGCAATAAAAATTGCATTTCAGGTGAGAACGTTGGAAATTACAGGAGCAGCCCTGTGGATTTTCAGGGTTGAGTCTTTTATTCTCAGTTGCATTGGTTAAAGTGGAACGTGACCTGGCTGAAATCACAGAGATGGGAGGTGATCATCAGGGATCAGCCAAGATCATGAAAAGAAATCTAGAATTGCTTATTTGTGGATCCGCAGTGATTCTTTGAGGATTAAGACCAAAGGTGCAGAGAAAATGGTCTGTGGGCTGCATGCACCCCCCCGGGGGACCAAATATGCCTCAGCAACTTTTGGCTTGCCGATTTATTTGATTTATTTTTTTGCCAGTAGATGGCGGAAGAGGGCTTTTTAAAAGAAAAATATTTTCAGGGCAGGCAGGGGCGGTGAAGCTGATGTAGCCCGCCCTGGGGATGAATATATGCAGCCTCCAGACCTCTGGAAACCTCCTGCCTCAGTCCAGGCCAGCTAAACATTGTTCTTGTATGTGTGTTTTTTTCCTTTCCTTCAGTGATATCTTAAAGCAGCTTCCACAGCTCTCATCCTCTCCTTTTCATCCTGACAACGACCTTGCGAGGTGGGCAGGCTGGAAAAGAGCGTGTTACTGGCTCGGAGTCACCGAGTGAATTTCATGGCTCAGGGGTTTAGGCATCTGGCCGTGGCGCCAGAGTTTGGGAGCTCAGTTCCCCTCTATGTGCTTCTTTGACAGGGGCTGAACTCGATGATCGATAGGGTCCCTTCCAGCTCTGCAATTCTATGATGGTGGTGATCATGGGGACTAGAACCGAGACATCTGGGGTCCCCTTCCAGCATTCTAGCCATTACAGCAAGCTGGCCGTCCTGGCAGTGTTGACCTAACACATCAATCTATTCCCCCTAATACAAGCGTGGGAAAGGATGAACCAGAGCCTGCGTTGTTATGTGATATTCCTGAGTCCTTTTAAATCTGCTTTTCTACTTTCTCCCCCTTAGGGATAGAGGAGCAGGAGGAAGGCGAAGGATCCAAAACAGGTCTGTGAGGCTTCTCTCTCATCTTCTTTGGTTTTTGTTAGCCGCTGCATTGTGGCAGGAAATTCCCTATAGCTATATAATGTGTGTACAGTGGTGCCTCGCTTAGCGATGTTAATCCGTGCAGAAAACATCGCTGCTAAGCGATAACATTGCTAAGTGAAAATAAAAAGCCCATAGAAACGCATAAAAACGTGATTAATGTGTTCCTATGGGCTAAAAACTCACCTTTAAGCGAAGATCCTCCATAGGGGCGGCCATTTTCGGTGTCTCTAAAGCGAGGAAACACAGCGGGCAGCCATTTTGTTTACCCGGCGGCCATTTTGAAACTGCCAATCAGCTGTGCGAAAATGGGGGCTTTGCAAAGCGAAATTTCCCCATAGGGATCATCGCAAAGCGACGGCTTTTGCTATTGCAAAAACATCGTCACAAAGCGATTTCTTCGCTATGCGGAGCAATTGCTATGCGAGGCACCACTGTAGTTTATTTATGAAGCATTGCTGTGCATAAATAGGCCATCATTAGGAACCACGGGGAAGGGTCGCTGCAACCCGGCGATGGAACCCCATGTCTTACATGCAAGAGGTCCCCGTCCTTGGCATCTTTGGGTAGAGCTTGGTGCCCGTTGGCATTATTGGGGGGCGCAGAAGGGAACTTCCTAGGCAGCTTTTGGGGAGAGTTCATAACTTAGCATAAAAGCCCTTTCTTTGTTTGCGGAAGGCACTGGGTTCAATCCTGGGTGTCTCAAGGTGGGGATGACAAGGTGTCTTGTCTAAAAGCCAGGAGAATTACTTCCACGCCATCATGTAAACTGGAAAGGGGCTGATTTTGGTGTGTGGGTTTAATTAGAATGTTGTTATGCTTAGCTCTTGAAAACTGAAACCTGTGGTTTTCTTTAGGGAGTCAATGCATCTCATATTCGGGTTTAATTAGAATTTTGTTATTATGCTCAGCTCTTGCAAACTGAAACCTGTGGTTTTTTTTAGGGAGTCAATGCATCTCATATTTGGTCTTCCTCTTTACCTGCCACCTTTCCCAGCATTATTGTCTTTTCCTGCCTTCAGGAAAGCAGGAGAACTTTAGTGTCCACATTTCTGCCTCCAGAGGTAGCTCATGTGTGATTGGATCTAGGACCCCCTTGTTCACCTTTCTGACAGTCCGGAGTATTCGCAAAGCTCAAGAGTATGAATATTTCACCGGAATCCCGTGAGCCACCAGGAAAAGCCGGATACAAAAGAATGGCTAGGCAGAGCAAAACTATACAAAGAATTAAAGAAAGGGTGTCTCTGATGCCATCCTTAGTTCAGGACGAAATCCATTCCTGGTTTTGCTCCGACCTTTCTTCCAAGAGCATCATCTCTCAGGAGGAGGCAGGGGCTCCTAATGGTTTCTCTCACCAGACAGGGGCAGAAAGAGATTCCTTTATTGCCCATCACCCAGGCCTCCCATTTATGGTGATCATTGATGATGAAGCAGGGAGCCCGGTGCCTACCAGAGGTTTTCTGATTGAAACCCTTTGTCGTTCTGCTCCATTCTAAGAGATACTGGCTTGCTGCAGTGGGCTGACAGTGATAAACTGGATTATAATTTTAATCAGTGATGATCGCTGTGCTCGGCGGCAATCAAACGGGTTAATTATAAACCTGGTGATTCCTTGTTTTCGTCAGCTCGAAGCACAGCCGTAGACGTTCGGCGACGTTCAGGGTGGCTGGTGCCTACGCTTCCCTTGGGATGTTGGAGGCGCTGGTCATGGTTGTCTTCCCTGCATGACAGTAAAGTCCTCCCTGCAGTCTTTTGAAGTGGAGCGGTAGGGATGCGGGAGTGACATTTATGAATCAGTTTGGCCACTTCTTTTGCTCAATGCTTTTATGTTGGCCAGATGCAAATATTGTGGTGGATGCCTGTGTGTGCACCGGATTGTTCAGTGCTTGTATTTCCCATCTGGACTGTTCCAGGTGCTGGTAAACTACAGTTCCCATCACCTCTAGTCTGCAAAATAATAGGGATGATAGGAATCAATGGATGCTGGTGTTGCAGGTAGAGGGTGAGTGGGTTCGTGATTTGGGGCAACGTCTGTTTTATTCTGGTCAGATAGCTCAGTGGTTTAGGTCTCTGGCTGCAGAGCCAGAGCTGGGGAAAAACATTGTTATGCAGAAATCGGTAAGCGAAACAGCTGTGGCCTTGGGCAAGCTGCGCAGTCCCAGAGCATCCCTAGAAAATAGGAAACCACTTCTGAGTACTCTCTACCTGGAAAACCCTGAAAACGGTCACCATGAGTCAGAACTGACTTATGCTAGCACATGGTAATGATAATTATTATCTGTTTTGTTCTTGGAAGGGTTGCACTGCTTGTGATTGCTGCCGCATGGGATAATGGAGTGATTCCTTGCCCTGGTTTAGACTATGAGCCACTAACTATTTGGTTAGCTCTACTGTTTTTTTTTCAAAAAGCCTGTACAATGGGGCCCACATAGCGACGATAATCCGTGCAGCAAAAATGTCGCTATACGGATTCGTCGCTATGCGAAATTAAAAAGCCCATGGGAATGCATTGAAAGCCCTTCAACTTCAATGTGTTCCTATGGGCTTAAAACTTACCTTTTAAGCGAAAAGCCTCCATACGGCAGCCATTTTAGCTGCCCGGTAAGCGAGGAATCCGTCCCTGTTTTACCCAGCGGCCATTTTGGAACTGCCGATCAGCTGGGGAAAAACATTGTTATGTGAAAATCGGTAAGCGAAACAGCTTACCGATCATTGCAAAGCGATTTTCCCCCATAGGAAACATCGTCATGCGATCGCAAAAGCGATTGCAAAAACATCGTCGCTATGCGGATTCATCGTTAAACGGGGCGCCCGTTATGCGAGGCACCACTGTAAATGTTAGTTTTTTGGACTTCAGCTCTTAGAATCCACCAGCAAGCAAAAGGCACCATCTTCTTTTTTTTTTTTAGCCAGCTGTGACATAGACGTTTGGGAAAGTATAGCTCTTGATGAGATTTAACATCCATGCTTTTCCTAATCTGCTTGTAAAGGTGTATCTTTTGACTTTGACCAGTTGTGCATTGAGGGTCTGATGCACTCCGTGCTCTGCCTGCCAGTCTCAGGTCCTTCTCCTAGCCTACCAGAGTATAGGATGCTGAAGGAAAGGTAACATCCATGCGAGATGTAATTACAACCTGCTAGAAGCTCCCTTAGACAGCCCAGAAGAAGTAGGAGCAAGGATTTAAATGTGGTGGATTAGAACACCTTCGCCCTGTTGGTTTTAGTAGGAGATATATCAGAATCTAGTTGGCCGGATAGCTCTGTGGTTTAGGGAATCTGGCTGTAGAGCTGGAGGTTGGGAGTTCGATTCCCCACTGTGCCTCCTGGGATAAATGCCAGCCTGTGTATCCCTGGGCATGTTACTCTGTCCGAGGGCACCCCCAGAAGAAGGGCAGAGTAAACTACTTCTGAATATTCTGTACCTTGAAAAACCTGAAAAGAGTTGTCATAAATCAGAACTGACTTGACAGCACGTTAGTATTCGTATTCATGTTATAATCCAGCCAAGGGCACCACAGGGTGTGCAGAGAGTCTGATATGATTGTAGGGGGCCGGTATGGGGAGAGGTAGGGCCCAACTGGATACCTTGACATTCGGATCATCCTGGCTCCATCTTGCTGTCTTCAGTCTTGTTTGCTTGGTATCATGATAGAGAGCCTCATCAACTCACACACCCTCCTTTCTCTCTTTTGCTTCTGGCAGCTTTGCAGCCTCTGAAGAGCATGGAGATCAAAGAAGGTAAAGAAGGTTTCCTCTCCTTGGTGGTTGCCTGTATGGTGGGCCTGCGCTTTACAGGAAATGTATGGATGGTCATCTCTTGCTAACAGATAGGAGATAGCTATGGCTCACTGGTAGAGTTTAGAGGGATGTTGTTACTAGGGATGGGGTTTTTGTTTTGTTTAATTTCTTGGACTTTTAAAAAAAAATTCAGTGGTGCCCCACATGACGACGATAATCCGTCCCGTGAAAATTGTTGTTTAGCAAAATCGTTGTCATGTGAAAACCTTTCCCCATTGGCATGCATTGAAACCCGGTTTAATGCGTTCCAGTGGGGAAAATACCTCGGCGTCCAGCGAAGATCGTCCATAGGGAAGCCATTTTGCGAGTGCCGATCAGCTGTAAAAATGGCTACCCTGCGAAGCATGGGTCCGGAAAACACAGGGCAGCCATTTTGCGAAGCAAAAAAAAAATCGTCTTCTTGCGAACAAACGGTTCACGAAGCACGGACCTAATCGACATCCAGCGGAAATCCCCCATTGGAAGGACCGTTTTGCGAATCACTATAGCGATTGCAAAAAGTCATCGTTATGCAGATTTGTCATTTAGCAGATTTGTCGTTTAGCGAGGTACCACTGTTTTTGAATTTCTTGAACTCTTATCATTTTCCTTTCTGGAAGTCTTACTTGACAGCCACCTTACGGAGGGCTAAATGTAGCTCACCTGGGAGAAAGGCCTAGTTGTCGTTTAGCAAAGTACCACTGTTCTTGGATTTCTTGAAATCTTATGATTTTCCTTTCTGAGAGTCTTACTTGATAGCCACCTTACAGAGGGCTGAATGTGGCTCACCTGGGAGAAGGGCCTAAACCAGAAGGCTTTGAGGCCTAGCTCCACCCAAGCTTCCTGTTTCTGCCCCAGTGCTAGCTGGGAACATTCTTTCTGAGGAGGAAGTTAGGCGGAGCCAGGCAGAGCTCGGCCTCAAAACCTTCCAGTCTGGGCCCTTCTCCCAGGTGAGCCACATCTGGGTGTCTGCCTGTCAGGTAGGACTCCCAGAACGGAAAGGGGTGGGATTTGTAGTTGGAGAAATCAGAAGTTCTCATCCCTTGCGGTGGCCTCAGGTGGCAAATCCACTTGTTCCTGTGTGATTTTTCTCTCTTTTCCTTTGTAGACATTGGAGAAGAAATTGACTGACGGAAACAGTAGCAGAGGCAACATCCCAAGGCTCGTGTTGGCAGGCTGTACCGCTCTGGGTTGTTGTTGTTGTTGTTGTCGTTTTCAGCTGCAAACTGTCAAAAACTTGGGCGTGCCTCATACAGCTTTCCCCTGGAACCTGCAGCTTTCTAATGTCACCCATTGCATTTCCCCTTCTTGTGCATATTGGTAATGCTGGTCATGGCCTGACCTGGTTGTATCCCGTCTCAGGATTTGCATCAGGCATGGAGAAACGGGGGGGACGATCACAGCTGCCCTTTGCCTTGATACGTTCCCTGCCTCTTCCTCCCACTTTGGGCTAGGATACCTGAAGTTCTCATTCACACATTTGGGCCTGTGTTGTCAGTTTGCCACCAGTGATTCTACCTGTTGCCCTGCTCAGATGGCACCAGCTTCTGCCTAGACCACAAAGGAAGGGAGAGAAGCTTCCAGAAGCATGGGGCCCGCACACCTGTGCGTGGTCCTTGGAGGGCTGCACGCTTTCCACTGCCCCTAGCCTTGAATGTTTTGCTCTTACACTAACGTTTCTGGGCTTTTCGAAACTGGAAAAGCCCCCTTGAGCCTGCAATTGCACCCAAATTATATGCATATGACTTTAATTTAAATTTAAATGAGTAGGGTTTCCCCAAAGGTGATAAAGTTCTCGCCCATGCTCCCTACAAACATTCTCTCCCTCTGCCTCTCTGCAAAGCACATTGGCCTCCTGGGGGAGTGCATGTTGCCCATCTCTGCCATAAGAGGTAATAATGGAGCGTAGACCACCTTGAACGTCCCACAGTTATTGAGGAGGGTGGTGGCTGAAGCCGCTTGATGTTGAGTCTTCTGCCGCTGGTTGTGTGATTGGGGCCATGCTTTTTCTGGTGGGGTTGAGGGTTTCCTTCTTTCTGTAACCTTAAAGGGCAAGTACCCTAAGATGATTTTACCTCTTGAGTGGAAGAACGCACCCTCTCCTGTTTCATGTGTAGAAGCCAGGGGGTGGGGAGTCAGGCTGTTGGATCTTCATTCAACATTAATGGTAGCACTACATCCTCCATGCTGCTTCAAGACACATCACGCATCCCCTTACCCTATAGGCTCCCACACTGTCAACTGAGGCAACCACCTAATGGTAGGGCTGGACCTGCACAATATAAATTCAGAAGGATTCCGTGGCAATAGGACTTGATTCATCAGTAGAAGATCCAAAGTTCAGCTCTGGAGGTTTCCACCCAGGAGTGCCATCATGTGGCACTGACAGGCAAAATCTCTCTTTTTTTGAGAGTGAGGTTGAAGAATCCTCCAGACGTTTTATTTATGGAAAGCTTTGGTCACAGAAGGCTCTGGAGAAAGTTTTCTAAACTATGGGTTCCCAGATGTTTTTGGACTGCTGTCTAGGGAGGTCGAGGATCGTAATCCAACAATATCTGGGATCTACAGCTGTGGAGATGTTTAGTTACCCCTCTCCTTTGAGTAGCCTGACGTTGTGTTTAAGACTTTTGCTTTAGGCATCTTTGATCACAATACAACAGGTAGGGTGTTCTGCACACCTGCAGTGCACAGATGGCACTATACTGTTGTCTCGTTTATTTTTTTGCTACCTTTGCCCATCCCTATCTGGTAACCACCAAATCGGGCAAATTCCATTCCTGGTTCGCTTCCTCTCATATCATTTAGAAGAGGTAAAAAAAAATCCATGAGCCTGTCTCTCACTGTTAAAAATACTGGGTGGTATGTGTACAGGTATTTGTGGTGCTAGGTGGGGAAAAATCTGCTGGTCAGATCTGCCCCCTGCCCCCATGATGCTCTAAGGCAGTGATCCCCAACCTTGGGCCTCCAGATGTTCTTGAACTACAACTCCCAAAAGCCTTCACCACCAACTCTGCTGGTCAGGATTTCTGGGAGTTGAAGTCCAAGAACATCTGGAGGCCCAAGGTTGGGGACCACTGCTCCAAGGGACATCCTTTTGTCCAGGTAGGTTCCCGAAATTCCATATGCAGCCAAATAATTACTAGCCATTTTAGGATTCAGTGCTAGGACATTGTAGCTTGAGTCACGCTGTACTGATATTTGCAGAGACCTGGTTGGGCTAGTCTACTTCTCTTCCTCCTCCCTATCTCCAGCAGCAGCATGCAAATGTCATTGACTACATCTCCCATTAGCCCTAGCTATCACCCAAACTCATTGTGGATTACAAAAGTTGTAACCCAATATATTTGCAGGGCACCGCTTTGGAGAAGGATACTGTAAAGAATAAGATAGGACAGTGGTTCCCAACCATTGGGTCCCCAGATGTTCTTGGACTAAAAGTCCCAGAATCTGTCACCACCAGCTGTGCTGGCCTGGATTTCTGGGAGTTGTAGTCCAAGAAGACCTGGGGACCCAAGTTTGGGAACCACTAAAGTAGGAGATCTGAGAGTCATGGAGCATGTCAGAGGAAGGGAGTTACAGGGGTTGAAGGCCAAGAGGAGAGTCTGCAACCAACATTGAACTACGGACAGCCAGTTCCCTTGCCTAAACATCCGTGTCCAATATTTCAAAGGGACTAGAAATTTTTAAAAAAATTTGAACTTTTATATGAACTAGTATCTAAAATACTAGACTTTAGACTCCTGGGTGCCTTTGGAAATCAAATAAACTTTCAGTTTTTTGGTTTTTTGTTTTGAAGTATTTATCTTTGTCCAGGCCTAGATTTGTGACTTTTTTTAAAAAAAAATATGTTTTATTATACAACAAACAATACATGATTTGTTTAAAAAAAAGATCCATATGTATAGTAAAAAGCAAACCAACAACAACATAAGGCAATAAAGGAGGCAATCAGATTAAGATGAAACAGATCACTAATTGATCAATTAAACAAATTTTGCATAGAGATGTAACATTTCTAGAAAATGTGAAGCTATGGGTATGGAAAGATGGAGGGTGGTGTCCAATCCTTCCATGCATTTCTTAAGTGTCTCTTCACATCCAGTTCCTGCACATTTTTATCTTAGAAGCTTTACCTTGACGCTGAGATCATATATAGCTCTTACTATCAGACACTGGTACAGTAAGTAGCCTGAAAGCAAATATTCTAGCTTTGATTCTCCAAAAGTTCTACATTCTCCCAATTTTGAACTTTTCAAGTGTTCCTAATTAGGGTTGCTATTGGATCACAAGAAATTTAAATAGTTATTGGATTTTGTATACTTTGGCTTAATCGTCACCCCTAACATCATAACAAATGACCTGACTTGGAGTGCAAACACTGCTGCGTTAATCAGGAAGGCACAACAACGGTTGTATTTTCTAAGGATTCTTAGAAAGCAACAATTGACTGAGAGTTTGTTAATCACCTTCTATCGGAGTTCGATTGAGAGCATATTATCCTACTGTCTCTGTGTATGGTTCACGAGCTGCACAGTGGCAGAGAAAAAGGCAATTCAAAGGGTGATTAAGACGGCCCAAAACATCATTGGCTGTTCACTCCTCTCTTTGGAAGAATTGTATAAGAACAGATGTAAGAGGAAGATATCTAACATACTGAAAGACTCCTCTCATCCGGGATATCAGCTCTTTAAACTATTACCATCAGGAAGGAGATTCAGGGTATTGAAAGCAAGGACAAGCAGATTCAAGAACAGTTTTTACCCAAGTGCAGTATTGAGTTTAAATGCGGGGCCATAGGTTTTTGGTGGAATTTTAATTGCTGAGAGAAAACGGGGTATCTATATTTGGATGGTGAAAGTTGTGTATATTTTAACTCTTTTTTTGTAGTGGTGTTGTCCAGTTTTACCTTGGGGAAGAGCACCTCATTTCGTTGCACCCACTTGTGAGCGCAATGACAAATAAATTTCTTATGTCTTATGTCTTAATGTGAACGGCAGACATGAAACCAGAAGACTGAGACTAGGAAAGGCATCAATGAAGGAACTAGAAAAGATAATCAAGTGTAAGGATGTGTCACTGGAGACCAAGATCATCCACACTCTTGTCTTCCCAATAACCATGTATGGGTGTGAAAGTTGGACAATTAAGGAAAATGACAAGGGAAAAAAAGAGATTCATTTGAGAGATGGTTCTGGAGAAGAGCCTTGCGGATACCCCGGACTGCCAGAAAGACAAATAACTGGGTCCTAGAATAAGTAAAGCCTGAAATATCAGTGGGAGCAAATATGTTGAGGTGGAGACTGCCCTACTTTGGCCACATCATGAGAAGGTAGGATTCTCCGGAAAAGACAGTGGTGCTGGGAAAGGTAGAATGTGGCAGGAGAAGAGGAAGACCAAATATGAGATGGATTGATTCCCTAAAGGAAACCACAGAATGAGTCTCCAAGAGCTGAGCAGGACCGTTGAGGACAGGACAGTTTGGAGATCTCTCATTCATGGGGTTGCCCTAAATTGGAAACAACTTGACAGCACATAACAACAAATTGGATCAAATGGGGTTTAGATTGGGATTGTGGTAAATTCCAACTCTAAAGACCAAAGGCAGCTTTCCTGCAGGGTCTTTTGGACGCGTCTCATCTCAGTTTTATGAGTCCCCTCCTACCCACCTCCAAAGGGAAAATGAGAACGTCAGCGTGAGCAGGCTTGGTAGCTCTACCTACCCATAGGCACCGGCATGGTATAAGGTAGCTCAGGTTGGGGGAAGAAGACTGCCAATGAATTCCTGACTCCTCTTCAACGGTTGTGTTCTCCACACCTCTCAAGCTCTACGTATCCAACCAGAAGAGGCTAGGCTAAGCCCATGGGGAACAAAAACAACACAGCATGCTGAAGGGATGATCGCAGGAGAGTGTCTCCCAACAGGACAAGGCTGTGGCTAAGCCATTTGGAAGTCACTTCATAGGCCTGGAAGTGAAGGAGGAAGATCAAAGAATAATATAGCAAAATTGAGCTATTTGGATACAGGACAAATCTTCTGTGACTCTGGAGAAAATTCAACTCATGCAGCACCTATGTTTATGTCCCACCACGTGTACAAAAGTTCTAAGAGTTGAAATGATGCTATTGAAGTAGCCTGCGTCTGGAGAAAATTCAACTCGTGCAGCACCTATGTGTGTGCCGTTTATGTCCTACCACGTGTACAAAAGTTCTAAGAAAGATTTGAAATGATGCTATTGAAGTAGCCTGCGTCTGGTCAAAAATAGCCTAATTTTCTTAACGTTTTAATTTGTCTCCAATTTAGTTTTACCTATATTTCATATACACCTATAACTTTAAATGGTGCAATGCTCAAATATGAATAAAGAAAGGAACCCCCTTCCCCATCGTCCTGATGGCTTTCAAAGAAGCCTCTGTACTCTCCCGCCGTCCAGTTGTTTACCCAAAGCCCATTGTAAAGCCGGCCAAAATTAGTGGGCAGTCAATCAAGACATCCTGCAGAGTAGCCATAAAAAATATTAAAGTGCCTAAGTGCTGAAACACCAAAGTGCTTAATAAAAATGCAACCGATAGCAACAGGAATCTTAATGAGGGATCATTAGAGCAGGGAGCATTTAAAACTCTGAGCAATTAGTCCAGTTTCCATTTGGCCAAACAGTGCGCAAGAACGAAACAGCATCAAGAAGGCGTTTCTGTGTGTGGAGAGTACATTGGCCGACTAGTGGAGGTGGCTTGCCTTAAGAAATCACGGTAGATGTTATTTATTTATTTGTGTATTTATTTAAAATATTTGTAACCCACCTTTCCCTTTAAAAAGGACCTAAGGTGGCTCACAACAATGAAAAGACAGCATTTAAGTTAGTAACAGTAAGTATACCATACTAGAAGGATCCATGAATGCAATACCAAAAACGTCATAAGCAGCACTGAAACATCTTCAAGGCAGTAAGGTACGAAAATCCATTTAAAAAAACCCTACTCAGCAGTCATTCACTCAGGGAAAGCTTCCGCCTAAAGAGAAAGGTCTTCGTTTGCTTGCGGAAGGACAGTCAAGAGGAGGCCAACCT